ACATGTCAGAACACCTGCCGTATTTTGTAATATGCTAACGAGAACTTGTGAAATCTCAGTGCGGTTTAAGGGAAAAAAACATTTTGACAACCGCATTCAGCAGAACTGGTTCCCTACAGAATCTTTTGTCTCTTTTATGAGTCAAAAATCTTATTTTGGAAGGAGGTCTGTCTGTCTACACGTTTTACTGACTGGCAAGGGGACAGGGTACAATCAGGATCAGGGTGCTTGTTGATTGGTGGGCTTACGTTTTTTTCAATACCTGTGCGTGGCATGGAAGGAAAGGAAGGAACCCTTCTGAATCCACAGCAGAACCAAGCTCTGTGTCAGGTGCTGGGGATTGGAGGAGACAGACTGCCCTGCTCTTGAGAACGTCACAGTCCAGGAGAGAGGCGCAATCTCAGAGGTCCTGCCACACATGACTCTATGATCCACCTTACACAGTGTCTTAAGAAAAACCAGAACTTGGGAGATGGCCGTAAAGTGCTTGCTAAACTAACACAGAGACTGGAGTTTATGTCTCCAGACCACATTAATAAACAATAGCAACAGCAACAGGCCAGGTATGATAGTGTGTGCTTATAGTATCCCGGGGAGACAGAGTCAGGAGGATCTCAGGGGCTCACTGGCAGGTCAGCATGGCTGAATCAGTAAGCTCCAGAGCCTGTCTCAGAAAACATGCTGGCGGGCTGGTGCGATGCCTCAGAGAGTAAAGGCACAAGCTGCACGCACCCCTGGGGACCTGAGTTTGCTCTCTGGAACCCACTAAAAGTTGAAAAGAGAGAAACAGTTCTACAAAGTTGTCTTCTGACCTCCACAAGTGCCATACATATCCACCCCATACATACACACACACACACACACACACACACACACACTACTAAATATATTAATAAATTAATTAAAGCAACAGCAAAAGGTAATTGTTTTCTTTGTATTCTTTAACAAAAGATAACTCAAACCAAAATAAGAATAAATATGGTTGTAGTAGTTTGAATGAAAATGACCCCCATAGAAGTCCCAAGGCCTGACACTATTACTGAGGCTTTGGAGTGCTCACAAAAACAAGGGCCTATCATGATTGCCCTCTGAAAGACTCAACAAGCAGCTGAAAGAGTCAGATGCAGATATTTGCACCCAACCTATGAACAGAAGCTGCTGACCCCTGTGGTTGAATTAGGGGAAAGCTGGAAGAAGCTGAGGAGGAGAGTGACCCTGTAGGAAGACCAGCAGTCTCAATTAACCTGGACCCCTGGGATCTCTCAAACACTGGACCACCAATCAGGCAGCATACACCAGGTGATATGAGGCTCCCAACATATACAGCAGAGGTCTGCCAGGTCTGGGTTCAGTCAGAGAAGATGCACCTAACCCTTAAGAGTCTGGAGGCCCCAGGGAGTTTAGAGGTCTGGTTGGGTAGGGGTTGATCGGTGGGGACATCCTCGTGGAGACAGAGGTATGGGGAGGAGGTATGGGATGTGGAACAGTGGGAGAGTGGGCTGGGCGGGGAATAAAATCTGGAGTGTAAAATAAATAAATAAATAAATAAATAAATAAATAAATAATTTTTAGAGAGAGAAAAAAAAGAAAAAAAATGGCTCCCATAGGCTCACAGGCAGTGGCACTATTTGGAGGTGTGGCCTTGTTGGAGCGGGTGTGGCTTGTTGGAGGAAGTGTGTCACTGTGGGGTGGGCTTTGAGGTCTCAGAAACTCAAGTCAGGCCCAGTGGCTCACTTGCTATTTCTGCTGCCTGCGCTAGGCAGATGTACAACTCTCAGCTACCTGTCCACTAGCATGTCTGCCTGTATGTCGCCATGCTTTCTGCTATGATGACAATGGCCTAAACCTCTGAACTGAAGCTGTCTCTATTTTCTTCTCTTTTATAAGAAAACCATGGTCATGGTTTCTCTTCCTAACTGTAAAACTCTAGGACACTGGTAGAAAATGACAGAGGAAGACACTTGTCAGCCGTTATTTCTTACACTGTCCATGCATACACACGCACCACACAAGACAAGCCCAGATTTCCATATGCTCCCGTGGGTAACAACTGCTCTAGCTTTTAAATATTGTAAGCTAATCAAAATTGCATCAATGCTTGTGTGGGCCAAACCGAGCATGACTGGAGGCTAAGTTTGACCCAAAGACCATCGGCATCCAATCTTCAGCCTAGAGAGCAGACTCCAGGTCCTGTTCCTTCTAAGCAGGGAGACTTGGGGCCTGGGAAGAAGAGCTGGAGAAGGAAATCTGTGGTGCTAGCTGGGAAAGGCGAGGAGCTGATGGAAGTGGGTGCCAGATGGAAGTGGGTGCCACCTGGGGAGGGTGTCAGTGAAACAGGAAATTAAATGACTGTGAACGGAAAATTTCAGGGACTTCTAGCAAAAAAAAAATGACAAAAATAAATACAAAATTAAAAATTCAATTGTCAAAACTCTTAAATTTATATATGATATATTTTTATATTTTTATCTATAAAATAAATATAAAAAATCAATGGTTTTCTGATTTTTGACAATAAACATAGATGTGGACATTTATAACATTTTAAAATTTATAAATATTTATAAATTCATTTATAACACTGAATAATGAAATATTAAGAAGTAAATTGAACAAGGGAGCACCTACTCAAAGAAAGTTGTATGTGATCCAGGTATGGTAGCAATGTCTGAATTCTAGAGCTTGGGAAGTTGGAGGCAGATAGACTGGGATTTTAATATCACCCTCAGCTGTATAGAGTATTTAAGACTAGCCTAGGATACAAGAGACCCTGCCTCAAAACAAACAACAAACCAACAATAAAAGAAAGATAGGAGAAATATCAGACCTCACCATATTTCCATGCCAAAGAAGTTTCTACGAGAGATGTACATGAAGAGCCCGGCCGCCAGGCTTCTGTGGGCAAAGAGATGCCCACAGATATCCCAGAGCGGGTGGAGATCAGGATGCCCACAGATATCCCAGAGCGGGTGGAGATCAGGATGCCCACAGATATCCCAGAGCGGATGGAGATCAGGATGCCCACAGATATCCCAGAGCGGGTGGAGATCAGGATGCCCACAGATATCCCAGAGCGGGTGGAGATCAGGATGCCCACAGATATCCCAGAGCAGGTGGAGATAACACCAGCAGGAGGACTTGCAGGTATCAAACCAATTAAAACCAGTCATCAGGAAGCCGGTATAGAAACAGGTCAGTGAGATAGACCAGAATTCAGATATATCCTGAATACATATTAGAACATAATTGTTTGACAGAGTGACCTGTAAATTTGAATAAATTCATCTGAAAGCAAATAGAATTTGATATCTGTCCAGCTCATAAGTAGAGGGAGGTCTATGTCAGGTTACTTAGAAACTTAAATGTGGGCCAGCAAGGCAGCTCAGTGGGAAAAATGCTTGCTATACACACCAGACCACCTGAGTTCCATCTCCAGAACCTTAAGTGGAAGGAGAGAATCAATCAAACCCTGATGGTTCTCATCTGGACTCCACATGTGTGCCACAGCATGCCTGTACACACACACACATACATACATACACACATACATACATACACACACACACATACATGCACGCATACATACATACATCCATACATATGTACATACATACATACACACACACATACATACATACACATACACACATACATACACACATACATACACAGATACATACATACACACACACATACAAACATACATACACACATACATACACAGATACATACATATACACATACATACACACACATACATAATACACACCACACACATACACAGTGATACATCTTTAAAAACTTACATGTAAAGAAGCACAGAAGAGCCCGGTGTGGTGGCACATGCCTTAGTCCCAGCACTTGGGAGGCAGTGGCAGGCAGATCTCTTGAGTTTGGACCTAACCTCGCTGTCTTGTCTCGCCTCAGTGGGGGAGGAAGTGCCTAGTCCTGCCATGACTTGAGGTGCCAGGGGAGGTGAAGGGGAAGAGGTGGGGGAGGGGATACGTGAAGGGGGGAAACTGGGAGGAGGGGGGCGATTTGATCAGGATGTAAAGTGGATAAATAAATAACTTAATGAACAAACTCTGAATCAGGAGCTGGAGAGATGGCTCAGCGGTTATGAGCACAGGCTGCTCTTCCAGAGGACCTGGGTTCAGTTCCCAGCACCACCATGATGGCTCACCACTAACTGTAAACTCCTTTTCCAGAGGATCTGACTTTTCAGACTTCCTTTGGCACCAGGCACACACGTGGTGCACAGACATACGTGCAGGCAAAACAATCGTATATATAACAGTCTGTAAAATTCTAAATCAACAGGGATTTAGAATATATTATTTATTTATTTTCTACCTATTATCTGATGTCCATTATCTGTTTATCTGTATCGATGGCTATTTTTGATTGTTAAATTGGTTGAATTAAGAAGTACACATGGGGTTGTGTCTGTGAAAGCTTCCAGAGACATAGAGCCTGAGGGCTTTGGCCCACCCCAACTGATGACATCTATAGCACAACTCCTACACCCAAGGCTTAGGAACCCTGAGGAAGAGGGGCCAGAAGGATTGCAAGAGCGAGAGGACCAGAGTGTTTATAAGTTAGTGTATGTATGGTAGGAGCTGTACCCATGAATCATCACCACCATCACCACCATCACCAC